AACCTCTACCATTGCTATAAAGCTCGAGATCAACCCTGGTTCAATGAACAGTGCAGGAGGGCATGCCAGGAGCAGCATCAGGCACAACTAAAAATGATGTGTCAACCTGGTGAGCTGATAACACTGGGTTACTTGCACGCCAAACAGCATAAGCAGCAAGTGATAGACAGAGCTAAGTGCTTCCACAACCAATGGATCAGATCTAAGCTCTGCAGTCCTGCCACATCCAGTCATGAATGTTGAAGGTCAATTTAATGGCTGACTGGAGGAGAAGTCCCCACAAATATCCCCATCGTCAATGATGGGGTAGCCCAGTGCACCAGTGCAGAAATTAAGACTGAATTAAGAAGTATTTATAACAATCTTCAGCCAGAAATGGCAGGTGGTTGGCCCATTTCGGTGTCCTCCAAAGGTCCCTAGCATCAGAATGGCCAGTCTTCAGCCAATTCAATTCACTCCATGAAATGTCCAAAGGCACTGGATACTTCACAGGCAATGTGCCCAGGCAACACTCTGGCAATAGTTAGTGCAGACCTTAGCTCCAGAACTAGCTGTGCTTCTAGCCAAGCTGTTCAAGTGCAGCACAGAAGAGGGTCAGTTATCTCAGTTGGCTGGATGGTTGGTTTGCGCTGTAGAATTATGCCAGCAGTGTGAGTACAATTCCTGCACTAGCTGAGGTTACCATGAAAGTCCCACCTTTTCCATCTTGCCCCTCGCCTGTGGTGTGGGGACCCTCAGGTTAAACTCACCATCAGTCATTCTCTCTCTAATCAGTAACCAGCCCTCTGGTTCTCTGGGATGATGGCAATAAAAGTACAGCCACAACATTGTCAACGACCCAACAATGTGGAAAACTGCCCAGGTATGTCCTGTGCGCACAAAGCAGCACACATCCAACTCGGCCAATTACCGCCCTGTCAATCTACTCTCAGTCATTGGTAAAGCGAGGCAAGGTGCCATCAACAGTGCTGTCAAGCTGACCCTGCTCAGTGATGCCCAGTTTGGGTTCCGCCAGGGCCGCTCAGCTCCTGATCTCATTATAGCCTTGGTTCAAACATGGACAAAAGAGCTGAATTCCAGAGGTGAGGTGGGAGTGACAGCCCTTGTCATCTCTAATTGAGTGTGAAATCAATGTGAATCGGTCAGAAAACTCTCTGGTGGTTGGAGTCATACCTGGCACATACAAAGATGGCTGTGATTATTGCAGGGCAATCATCTTAGACATCGCTGCAGGAGTTTCTCAGGGCAGTGTCCTTGGCCTAACCATCTTCAGCTACTTCGCCAATGACCTCCCCTCCATCATAAGGTCAGAAGTGGGGATGTTAGATTATGATTACTCAATGTTTCACCATTTCCAACTCCTCAAATATTGAAGCAGTCCATGTCCACGCAGTAAGACCTAGAAATATTCAGATATTGGCTGACAAGTGGCAAGTAGCGATCACGCAAAGAAGTGCCACAGAATAACCATCTCCAACAAAAGTGAATGTAACCATCACCCCTCAGGATCCAATTGCACTGCTGTTGCTGAATTCTTCACTGCCACAAACTGGTATTGACCAGAAGCTGAACTTGACTAGCCATATAAACACAGCGGCTACAAGAGCAAGTCAGAGGGTAGGAATACTACAGCGAGTAACTCACCTCCTGACTCCCCAAAGCCTGTCCACCACCTGCAAGGCACAAGTCAGGAGTGTGATGGAATACTCCCCACAACATTCAAGAAGTTTGACGCCATCCAGGTCAAAGCAGCCCGCTTGATTGGCACCAGATCCATAAACATCCACTTCCTCCTCCACCAGTACTCAGTAAGCAAAAGTGTGCACCATCTACAAGATGCACTTAGAACTTCACCACGACTCCTTCGACAGCACCTACCTAATACCATTGAGAAGGAAAGGAGCAGCAGATACGTGAGGATGCCACCACCTGTAAGTTCCCCTCCAAGCCACTCACCATCCTGACTAGGGAATATATCACCTACAGCATTGCTGGGTCAAAATCCCTGAATTCCCTCCCCCTAAGGGCATTGTGGGTCTGCCTACAGCACATGGACTGCAGCAGTTCAAGAAGGCAGCTCACCACCACCTTCTCAAGGGTAATTAGGGACAGTAAAATTGTCAGCAATGCCCATATCCCTTGAGCAAACAAAGATGTTTTTGAGGCTGTGGATGCAGTAAATTTGAAAACAAATTAAACATTTTTTGTCAGATAAAATTATTCAGAGTTAATAATGGAGTAAAGGTACAGATTAACAAACAAAATGGCAGAATATGTTCAACAGCTGAAATAAATACAGAATGTGCTGGAGAAACTCAGCAGGACTGGGAGCATCCAAGGAGAGAAAGCAGTGTTAACGTCTTGAGTCCAATATGACTGTTCGTCAAAACTGGATGCCTCAATGCTGTTCATCTTCAATATAGCTTTGTGATGGAAGTTTGACATTGCAGATATAACGGAGTAACCAAGCAGAGAGCAGCAGCATCAGATAAGGCATATCAAATGCCTATATATAAAAATGTTCAGGTACTGACAGGCTGTTGTTAATTATTTAAACAGTTTATATTTTCATATTGAGTCTGTCAACATTTGGGTGGAGTTGCTTCGTGATCCAATCTTTCATTGATTTGGATCAGAAAAAACATCTGTGTGAAGACCGAATCTCTCATTTGCATACCAGATTCCTGATGTAATATCAATGAACCGCAAACAATCAGAAAAGGTTCTTAATTTAAGCCATGACAGCTCCTTGAATCTAACTCAACTGAGCAAGTAAGTGTCCATAGTCTAAAAGACTAAAGTACCATGTAGAATCACACGTGAAAAGGCAACCCTTAAAACCATCACTTTTCTCCCAAACCCCTGCTGAACTGAACCCCAGAGAGTCAGTACCTTTAGGAACTGTATCCTGGTGAGTCAGCACCTTCAGGAATTACCTCCCCAGTGTGAGTCAGCACCCTCAGGAATTACCT